ATTTATATGCAATTTATAAATATTTACAGCATTTAAATACACTTTCACATTATATTTCCGCCTTAAAATGTTCCCATTACTTGACCTTGAAACTAGATAAAGGAAGTCGTATTTATTTTTATGTAATTTATATTGCCTTCCGTTTCTGATACATTTTTGGACAGAAAACAAATTGTAAATATATATTTGTTCAAATAAACTTTTCCTACTTTCCGACTTTGTAGATTGGCAGCGCATTTAGTAAACATTTTGGCTTTTAAAAATGGAAATTTTCGTAATTTGTTTACAGCGCAAAACTGTGTGTATCGATCGAGTATGCATGTTTGGTAAATTTTGCTTTCATTATACCCTTGCAGGGTATTATAATTTCAGTCAGAAGTTTGCAACGCAGTGAAGGAGGCACCTCCGACTATATAAAGTATATATATTCTTGATCAGGATCAACAGCCGAGTCGATCTAGCCATGTCCGTCTGTCCGTCTGTCCGTCTGTCCGTCTGTCCGTTTCTACGCAAACTAGTCTCTCAGTTTGAAGCTATCTGAATGAAACTTTGCAGTTAGTCTTCTATATACTCTCACTCGTATATATGTCGGAACGGGCCGGATCGGACGACTATATCATATAGCTGTCATAGGAATGATCGGAAAAGTTTTACAAAAAAAATTATAAAATTTTTAGTTTTCAACAGAATTTGATCAAATTTGAGATATAGCCATTTCATATTATTCTACAATTTTGTGTAAAATTTTATGAAAATCGGACTAATATATCATATAGCTCCCATAGGAACGATCGAGAAATTTGAGAGGAATGAGAATGGCGGTGGCTGTTGTCGGAAGACTGACAATCGCGGTGGCGATAACATTTTTAGTTTTCAACAGAATTTAATCAAATTTGAAATATAGCCATTTCATATTATTCTAAAATTTTGTGTAAAATTTTATGAAAATCGGATTACTATATCATATAGCTCCCATAGGAACGATCGAGAAATTAATACAATTAAATAAAAAAATGCAAATCTGTGAATGTAAAACTGCAAATATAATATGTATAGGTGAATGAAATGAAAGCAGGTATTACTTCATTGTTTTTTAACACAAATATATCTAATTTATATTGTGTGGATTCCTATTCATAGAAGTTCTATCTGCAAGGGTATATAAACTTCGGCGTGCCGAAGTTAGCTTCCTTTCTTGTTTTTGTTTGATTTTCGCCTGGCAGGAGCTTTCAATTCGTGGGGGCCATTAAATTGCATATTGAACATTTTCCAAAAGATTCAAGCAAATATTGCAGTATATAAAGTATAAAAATAGTTGAAGTGGTCGCATTGTGCGTTCCAAAGTTCAAGATCTCGAAAAGTATTGCCACATTAAATCGAGTTCAGGGAAATTAGAGCGCAGCAATTTGAATCTCCATTAAGACTTGCATTTCGGATGTAAATTTTAGTTGTGAATTCCCCCTAATTTTAGGGGGCTCACACAGCTGCACTTGATTTAATATCGATGAACGAAATGGAATGCAGGCAGGCCAGCAAGCGACTCAATTACGTACGCCTTACGAATTTACGCTTAATGCCTTCAATTGGCTTTTGAATTATTAATTGAGGCATATTGTGTCCCGTTCGCGGGGCGGGGATTTTAAGGGGGGAGGTTAGGAAGCAACATCTCGATGGCGGAAACCTGCTCTCCGCCAGACTCGTTTCCAAAAGCTTGCGAGGATGGCCTGCACTCGACACGGCTAATCCCCTGGCCGGAGGGCCACTCCAGTGTGCCAAAAGTTGACATTGGGACAGGCCTCGCACCATATGAAAAAAACCACACACAGCGAGAAAATATTATTGAATTGCATCCCGATTTTATGTCTATTCAAATTCAGCCTAGCAACAGGGGGTTTAATGTATTGGAAAGATGTTTACATCACGGGAAAATAGTATTTAAATTATTGTACAGAATTTTAATCATTAAATATTACCTGGAAATTGTTAGGAAGTATAAAATGTTTGTTTTGACTTTAAATACTTATTCCTTAATAATCAATTATAATATATATATTATACACACAGTTCGCTATGATTTATAATAATGGTTACTCAATAAATTGCTAATTTGAAATGGAACATGAACTCATGCTCATAAAATATTCTCAGGTAGTTTCAATAATATGGAAATTTGAGAACATAAATAACATTTTAAATGAATTAAATGTTGTATTTAATCCGTATTATGTGTTTTTTTATTCCCTTGAGGTATGATAATTTTAGTCAAAAGCTTGAACTTGGTAAACGATGACTTACACAAAAAATTAGCATATAAAATATAGATTTAATATGCCTAGAATACAGATATATATCCCATGATCCTACGGCTGACCGGAAAAGTGTAAACAATTCGGCTTCCGGAAGTTAGCTTGATTCTATTCGATACTATTCATGATAAATACTAAAATTGGTATTGAATTATATAGAATAATTTCGGGTCTTAAAATAATTAAAAAAGCATATCCAATAAAAACAAGAAATTGTTCACTTTGGTATAAAATAAATCATTACCTACAATACTGTAGATCTCTTTATCTTTTGAGACTATCACAACAAGGTATAGGTTGAGGATAGATAAGTTATTTATTTATGATAGGCTTAACTTAAACATTGTTTATCACAGTAATCACGATAATAGATTAGCTACCAGAACTGATTAATTAACCCAAAATATATATTGGCTATTAGAAGTTAATAATTACTTATGAATGAGCATGGGGGGAACTTGTACATATTTTATTTGGTTTGATTAAAAATGTTTCTTTGGGATATCCTATGGAAAACAAAATTCAGATCTTTTTTCCCTGTGCACACCAGGCAGTCATCTTATTAGTTTCCCCTCTCAGTCCCGTTGATATACCAATGGCAACCCGAAAACTGGACCCAAGACCGGGACCCGGTTCTCGGCAAGGCCAACTTTTGACTGCAACACTTGACAGGTGGCAAACACTCGAGGCTCGGCTCGAGATGGGGAAAAAAGCCATCAGATAGCTGGAATTCCCGTTCCCTCCCTGAGCTCTCGATGCTTTCGCTTTGATTTGCCCATTTGCGCCTCCTCGGAATTGACTTGTGGGCCAGATTAGGTCCGAGATTTCCAAGAGGCCGCCACTCCAACGAGCGGATGTGATTGTATCTCATGAGCTCCAGGGCAACGCCGATAGACACGTAGGTACAATGTGTGCTTGTGTATCTGTGAAGTGCACACTCATCGGCTGAGCATTAGCGTGCAAATATTTGACATATTTACTTATATTTGCACAAGTGCCGTCGCCTGGCATCCAATTCCGGTTCCCCTGATCCGATTCCCCGAAAATCCTATTCACAATCACATTCAAATTCGAATCGAAATTTCAGATAATTGCGCCCCTGGCGTTGGGTGTTGAGCGTGAGCTGGAGCTGCCTAATTGACCGAAATTGATTTGCATCGATTCCGGCGATGGGAAATGCTGTTTGCTCTGCTGCTACATACTGCTGCTGCTGCCATTTTTCCCCCCAATTTTCGCACTCAACTGGGGATTGGTATTGGAAACGGAAGAGCTCGATGCACGCACACCGTGAATAGGTCTCCAATTGTTTTCCCTTTGTTCTGGGATTGCCCCTATACCCCAGGCCCCCCGCTTTGTGGCTATGTCAACAATAGTTTGCCTCACGTTTCAACGCATTGATTGCCCAAGGCACACTATGGGCCAAATTGTACACAGGGAAAAAATATGATTGGAAATTGAGGAAAATTTAAATTCTTTGGCTATGAATTGAATTGGAATTTCCTTTCATTTTATAAATTATTATTTATAAGGGTACATACTTAGAATATGAATAGATCAAATAAGTATTTTAAGATCAAAATATCAAGAACTGTATCTTTAATATACTATCTCATGTGGCCTTGACCTATGTTGTACATTTTTTTTGTTGTGTGTCCTAATGCCCCCCCCCACTTTCCCATATCATCTGTAAATACTCCATAAGCAGCTTCTGTTCCGGCCGCTTAGCTTTTGCCCCCTCCCCGCTTCTGCCTTGCATAATGTCGCAGTTTTATCTTATCTTTGGCCATTTGGCCATTTGATTTAGGGCACTTCCGCCCGATGCCGCCCACCGTGCGGCACGCGTTGCCACTGGGCATATATCTCTCTATTTCTCCCATATCGAGACCGTATCTGTATCTGCCGAGTCGGAGTCGCTGTATCTGTATCTGTATCTGTATCTTCGTGTATCTATTTGTTTGGCGCTTGTGTATCTGTGGCTCTATCAGTGCTTGGCCTGCGTGCCGCCATACATTAATTTAGTTGAATTTTTCGCGCGATCAGAAACCAGATGAGCATGTCAACCATTGTATATAGATGTCTCTATAAATTGTATCACACATCGCGGTTACAGTGTACACACGCTAAAGGGGTTAGCTGATGAAGACATTAAATTGGAAGTATATATAAGAATTTTTAATGAAATAGAAATTGTAGCTAGAAACTTGTTTTATATCCTTTCGTCTAAGGCAAAGTCTTATAAAGAACCCCTTAGATTAAGCCTGACTTCTGGCATGTTCTCCCTCCCTCGAGTGTCCCCTGTGCGATGAACTCACATAGACGTTGGGAATGCGATACTATTCCAGCACTGTCACCTTCACCTCTCCTCCTCACCGCTCCTCCTCACATTGTGTTGCACAATCAATATTTATAATTAAGAATTTTCTTTGTTTGTCTCGCGGTTTTCAACACTAGCACACTCGCACACACACACACTTTTTGACTCCGCACACCCTCTGTTTCCTGCTCACTTTAGCGTGGCACTCTGTGATCCCCTGGACCTTCTATTCCCGCCACAGCTTGCTTGCCAATTTGAAATAGATAAATTTGAGTGCTTGCCAGTGCCGCTGGCCATTGCCGTGCCCGTACTCATTGAAGTCTCCTCTTTCTTTCCACCGCCGGCATCTCCTTGGAATTGGGATTGGATGATTCGATTCCGCCAGCAGTGCCAGCCGCGACAACTTGTGCCCGGAGATCGGCAGCAGCAGCAGCAGCAGCCAGCATCAACAGCAGCCGCACCATCAGCAGCGCCACTCGCACTCGCACCAGCACTTGGTGCGCCAGTCTCTGGTGAGTCTCAGCAACGGGCAGCCGGCGGCTTCATCATCTCCAGCGGCGCCGGACAGCGTCTCGCTGCTGCGGGCGTCGGGCGATGATCAGCACAGGTCCTCCCAGCAGCAGCAGCAGCAGCAGCAACAGCAGCAACAGCATCTACTCCAGCAACAGGGTCAACGGCAGAGGAGCAGCAGCAGCCGGCTATCCACCAGTGGCATCTCCAAGCAAAACTCCAGCGACAGCAGGAGCGGCCTGCGCATCCTCGATCACAGCAGTCACAGTCCGGTGAGCTGTGGCACCCAAAGCGTGAGCAGCACTGGCGGCCAGTCGGCGCTCTACGATGCCTGTCACGAGTATTCGCGTAGCTTGAGTGCAGCGGCGGCGGCGTCGTCAGAAGGTGCAGCCGGATCGCTGCTCAAGAGCCACTACAGTGATCAGCAGTTGGCCCATCCAGAGCCAGATCCAGAGCCGGATCCGGAAAGGGATAGAGACAGGGATCGGGACAGGGACAGGGAGCGAGAGAGACGCCATCTGACCAACCTGAACCTCAACCTGAACAGCGAGTACGACTACAGTGGCAGCGACAAGCAGCAGCTGGTGAACGAGACTTACATCTTCAAGTGCATCGCCAATAGTCCCTCGTTCCTGCGCACCAACAAGATCAAGGAGCAGTCCAAGAAGCTGCGCAATCTCTCCCTGAAGACACGCACAGCGAAGAAGAAGGGCCAGATCATCTCCAAGTCGAACGCGGTGTCGGATAACTCACTGCATCCGGGCGACAAGTACCTGAACTTGTATCTGGTGGAGAAGAAGCATTCGCTGCAGCCGCAGGTGGCCAGCTCCAGCTCTACGCCCCATCCGCAGCAGGCCTCCTCGGCGCCGGCCAGCTCATCTTCCACGTGCACCCGTTCACAGCAGCCACAGTTGCCAGCCTTATCCGCGGTCGCTGCCCGCCAGCAACAGTTGCTGCTGAACGGTTCGCTCAAGGGCAAGACCAAGACATTGCCAGCCGGCGGCCACCGGGCGTCGGTGAGGAGCGAGAGTGGAAGCGGAGGGAGCAGCCACACCATTCCGGCGACGGGCAAGAGTCCGGCGCAGGTGCCGCAATCGCTGGCGGCCAAGATCAGTAGCAGCTCGGCTAGCGGCAGCAAGAACTGCAACCTGCTCAGCGCCAGCAGCAACTCATGCCACAAGCTGCATGCCCACGCACACGGCCACGGACTGGGAGCAGCAGGCACTGGATCAGGGACAGGATCTGGAGCAGGAGCAGGAACTGGGCACGCGCATTACGCAGCGGCCGCCTCGCCCAAGAGCTCGGTGAGCAGCAACGGGCATCTGAACAAGTACTGCCTCACGGACCTCACGCGCCGCAAGGCCGAGTTCAATCGCCAGCTCAGCGCCCCGACGGACTACACCCATCACTCGTCCAGCAACGGGTCGCAGCAGGAGGGCTCCTCGGAGGCCAACGAGGGTCACGAGCCGGTCGGGGAGTCCACCATCACGGTAGCCAGTGCCGGTGTGCCATATCCGCATCCGTACTCGTATCCGTATCACTATCCCCATCAGGCCTCGGCCACAGCGCCGGCCAATCTCAAGGCGTCCCTGCAGCTCCACAGCTTCGGGGGCCACCATCCGTGTCCTTATCCATCGCGGCCCACGTCCACCTCGTGCACGAACAGCTTCAACCGGCGTCACATCCGTCGGCACAAGGGCAAGCTCGGCGATCGGTGAGTACTCCTTAAGATAAGGGTTTTAGACTTTGTGGTATTTTGTTGCTAAAAATAGAAACCTTGATAGGGAAACAGTGGGTTTATTGAAGATCGTTAGAATTATGTGGGAGTTTCTTGCAGTTCTAAAATAATAATTTAGGAAATGTATCTTAGAGATACTAAGAAAAATAGGTTGCTTTATAAATCGTAACTTCCCAAGAACCTTCGGTTCCCAAAACCTTTGGTTACTCAAGAAATTAATATATTAACTAAATACTACAATTTTACTTTCTAAAGCAATTCTGGAGTTATATCTGAATGTTGAGAAGTGCAGGAAATTCGAAGAATAGAAAGCAAGGTTTTCATGGAAACTATATTTTAAACAGAAAAATCCCCAATAATTCCCATGAAAAAATACTATAATCTGAATACTCAGCCTACTAAGTTTTAATTAAAACTTATTAACTCATTTACGAATCACAATTATCTGTAAGAAATAGTAATTAATTCGAATTAAAAATGCGGAAAATTGTATCTGACAAGAAAAATGTAGCCTCAAATTAGCATTGAATCAATCTTGAACTAAATGGAAATCAATTTAGAAAACTGACTCAAAACTATATAGTTCTCTTAGCTTCTGTTTTGTGGCTCAAACCCATTGAAGACATTACCTCGGCTTACAAAGGGGGAATCACGCGTATGCCAAGCTTCTGTCTGACTTTTACCGGTTTTATTTTTATTTATTTTTTTGTATTTTGAGTGCTTTTGTTGCTCGCTCTGCTTATCGCTTTGGAATTTGCATAATGCTTTAGCATTCGCCGTCACAGACTGAGATTCCAACTCCAGCCTGGCTCTCGTCTCAGTTGGCGCAATAAGCTTCTAATGGCCGAGCAGTGAACTCCACAAATTTAAGCGGATCGAAAGGCGAAAAAGTCGAAGCAAATTATTCGAAATATAGGTTGAAAAATTTGTTAACCGGTGTGTGATTTGTGTTATCTATATAATTTTTAATATTTCTACATGCAAAGATAAGCCTTAAAGTATTTCAAGAATCAAAAGAAAATAAATAGTAAAGGTTCTACGTAAAAAACATAAGAACAAGTGTTCTCTGTTTCGATTTCATTATATATATTAGCTCTCAGTTTTATGGAATAAATGTTTACTAAATAGTCTACCAGATAAACATAGTTTTCAATTAATATATAAAGATACAAAAACCAAAAACCTTTTAAGGCAAACCTCCTAAAAACCATAATGTGCAAACCATAAGTGCAGTCATAAATTAAAGGCGCATATCGCATATCAGCAACAAGAATTCAAAGGAAACAAAATAAGAGGACCACAAAGAAACCCATAAACAATGGACTCTATAAGTGCCTCGAAAAAGGACCCCGCTGAGATATGTACTTGAAGCATCGATTAGCGATTGTGTGATTGCAGCTCGTAATTGAATCGATAACGGGGGGGAAAAAAGGGCAATGCGGAAAAGCGACTTGCTCTTCATTATCAGTATCAGTTATATAGTAAACAAACCGATTGAGCTGACTATAATGCTTGCAATTCCATAATTTGTTGCAAACAAATTGCGACCCCGAAAGAGACTTATAGACGCTTCCTCCTTTCTTTTCAAACTGATCTGATTCGAACCGAACCGATCTGATCAGAGCTATTCCAATCGGAGATAGAACGCGTTCGCCGCATATATTAGCATATATGTTCATTGTTTATGTTCCCTTCTCTGTTTAAATGTTTATTGCTTCGTTTTTTTTGGGGGGGAATAGTTTTTGAATAGTGTCTTGTCTGTCTGTTGTCTGGTTTTATTGGCATCAATATTTTTTGTAGTGAAGAAAGTCAGCTGCCAAGGCAGGCGCATTACAGTCTGGCCATAATTTGCGTCGCCGCTCGTCGCGAAATCAATTAAAAGGCAACACAAATTTGTTATTTATTTATTGTGCAACGGCCGCGGGGTTCAGAACAGGTTATCATCAAGTCGCCGCAGCATCCAGCAGCAGCTTAATAAAATTCTGAACAAAAAAATACAGAAAACTAGTAGCCAGTAACAGTAAAGAGAAACGGAAAAAGACAAAACAAAAAATATATCTAGAAAAAATAACAAATATCTAGAAAACAAATAAAAACCAGCGTCAAGTGCAGCATGGTGTCAATCTTTCAATTATTTAATTAGGCAATTGACAGCCAATTTCAGTTGGGCAATAGCAACAAGTAAAAAATTGTGCGAAAGCTGCAATTTCTTAGACCAATTGATAGTCGAGGTAAGAATATATCGCTGGATCAGAAAGTATAAATATACAAATCCATACAATATCCCACCGACACCCGCATATATACATATCTTCTTTTTCGGAAACGGGGGCTCGAGGACGCTCTCAACGATACCGATTCCGATTCGGAAATGCCACGAAGTTCGGCCGATCGTTCGTTCGGTTGTCGGTCGTTTGGTTGTCGGGTTTCGGAGTGTTTGCCGGCGATGATTTCCCCATACGTTAGTCGCAAAAAGTTTGCCGCTGTAATAACTCGAAGTACCCCACGGTATTCTACTCTATATACCAGACTTGTACGATTCTACGGCGAAAGCCGTGCGCCATTTACTGTGTGAGTCCGCCGTCTGCTCGGTCGAGTCATCAAATCAGCTAAAAACAAAATAAAAAACATCTGCTCCAGCACGTTTTGCAGTTGCCAACAGAAAAATAGTATTCGCTCGTAGCGATAATAAAAAACCAAGATACAACAAATAATAGAAACAAAACACAACACAACAGAAAGTAAAATATAAATAATGCAACCCCAAAGTGAAGTGAAATAAATTTGAAACCACAATTTAGAAAATGCTACTCATCGTATTATTTGATTTGTGTAATGTAATCCAATACATTGCGGTTTGCTTGCAACAATAACTAATAAATTCATTAGGCTAATGCCGCTTGGCGGTCAAGATTAAATTAAATCAGCTTCATCAGGCTTAATTAAAACGAAACTTTCCCATTTAAAAACTACACACAATTGAGTGTGAACAGGCGAAAGAGAGCAGCCGTGGCAAGTAATAATAATAGAAGCACCGACGAAAAGTATTATAAGTACTCGAAATATCAGTACTGCAAAAAAAAAGAAAAAAACTAATATAAAGCATAACGTAACCGCAAGCACGCGTCTCCGCCCGGCTTTAACAATAGATCCCGAACCGCCGTGAATAATATCCGTACCACGCGATTTGTCGCTCAGAGATCGGTGTTCAGTGTTTGGTGTCGCGGCTTTGCTCCAAAAAAAAATAAAATAATAAAAAAATCCCAATCAGGAGGGTATTTGGAGGAGGTGGTACCGGGATTCCAGTTTCACTGGCGCTACTACTGCTCCGGGAAAACCTTGACAATCGCCATCCAAGTGGGCAAGGTGAGGGCAGGCAGCCGTCGCTCTGATACAACTTTGTGCATTGTGCGTGTGCCGCAATTAAAAAATAAACAAAAATAGCCACAACAGCAAATGTAGTTACAAAAAACGAATATGGAAATACTCTATAGAATGATCTTGATAAAATAATAAGTGAAATTTAGTGGAAATCTACTAGCTCTCTGAAATTGAAGTGATCTAAGGTGATCCTAAACTACTGTCCCTGACTACGGATCCTACAAGGATTTCGTAATTAAAAAATAAATTAATGAAACAAAACTAGCAATGTTTGAATGTAGTAAAAAACTTGTATAAAATTATCTAAACTACTAACAAATATAACTCTCAGAGTTTGTGTAGAAAATCACCTTATAAAAACATATAATTTAACACCTAAATATAACGAAGTGGTCTTCAATCACTTATAAAACTATAACCTATTTGGTAAACATTAAACATACTTTGAAATAAAGTTCTTGATTAGTTAAAAAACCCATACAAAAATGATTAATAACTATATTATAACTACCTATAACAATCCGATTTGTTAATGTTGATTGGAATTATTTATGCTTGACAGAGCTCTGTCAAATCGTGTCAGCACAGATTTAATTCAATAATCTCAGCTTTAACAGCTCATTGATTAATGATATGGTTATCGATTCTATAGACTTACTGTAAGCTATAGCTTCTGTGGCTTCTTATATGTCACTTTAGTTAGCTGCAATAAAAAGCCACAACTGTCAACAGCAAAGTAAACATAAACACTAATAATACCCGCCATAAGGGTACTTAATAGTAAACATAAAGGTAATAAAACCGGTGCGTTAACATACGCGAAACCCCCATTTGGTGCAGTTTCACTTTCATTTTAGGCAGTTTCGCCTTATGGCATAATTCAATACGAAATGTAACGGAATTTTTTCGAGGGAATAGTAGTAGTAGATACTTCCGCGTTTTACAGTTAAATCAATGATACAGTTATCAATGTCATTTGCAGCCTGCTGAGCGGCGATAGTGAGGAATCGGTACGCTGCTCCTATTGCTCGGTGCTGAATGTGAACGAGAACGACCTGCGCATTTCGTTTGAAAACACCTGCACCGACTCACTGGTCACCGCTTTCGATGATGAGGCCCTGCTAATATGCGACCAAGGAACCGAAATGGCAAGCGCAAAGGTTTATTTGTAACACTAATGGACATGGACAGGCATTTTCACACTAACCATCCATTACAATCATCATCAGTTACCAGAAACGATCTCTATCCTTAAAAATATATAACTTGATATCATCTCCTACGCTTCAACTGTGACTTGAACTTGACTCAGGCACCTGCAACTCTTTAGAATCTTAAAACCCGACTAATTATATTACATTTCTTAATCGCAACAGGTACACTTTGATGACGTGTCGTTGTACGGCACTCCGAAAGAGGAGCCCATGCCCAACATACCGATCGTTTCGGAAAAAGTCTCTGCGAATTTCCTAAAAAGTCAATTGCAATCATGGTTCCAGCCGACGGACAATCGTTTGGCCATGAAACTGTTTGGCAGCCGCAAGGCGCTGGTCAAGGAGCGCATACGTCAGAAAACTTCCGGGCATTGGGTCATACACCCGTGCAGTTCATTCAGGTAAGCTCTACTCTAAATTGTCCCTCTCAGATATATACTAATCCTTAAAAAAACCTCTCTATTTCCATAGGTTTTACTGGGACCTTTGCATGCTTTTATTATTAGTAGCAAATCTTATTATCCTGCCAGTCGCAATATCATTCTTCAACGATGATCTGAGCACACGATGGATTGCCTTCAACTGCCTAAGTGATACTATTTTTTTAATAGATATTGTAGTCAATTTTAGAACAGGTAATGCACTCACTTCTCCCCTCTCTTAGCCAACTAACTAAACAAAGACCTCAAAAAAGAAAGAAAACCCCCACTCCGTTATCCTGGTTGGTTTCATGTCCAAACCCGTCGTTACTCTGCCCCTGCTTAACCATATATCTCTCTCGGCCGAATATTCTGATTTCAGGAATTATGCAACAAGACAACGCTGAACAAGTAATATTGGATCCAAAGCTTATAGCTAAACACTATTTAAGAACTTGGTTTTTTCTCGATTTGATTTCGTCGATACCGCTAGATTATATATTTTTAATTTTCAATCAAGTAAGTTAACGTATGTAAGAAACAGTACGATACATTTTGATTAAGATTATGAAATTGCAGGATTTCTCTGATTCTTTTCAAATATTGCATGCCGGACGCGCCCTGCGCATCCTGCGCCTGGCCAAGCTGCTCTCCCTGGTGCGACTGCTCCGACTGTCCCGCCTCGTGCGCTATGTGTCCCAATGGGAGGAGGTCTATGTGAGTACACCCGGCTCATTCTGGCAACGCTCGATTCCGTTTTTAGTTTTCCTCAGTTTCAGTTACAGCTTTAGTTTCAGTTTCTGTTTCAGTTTTAGTTTCGTTACCTGTTCTCCTTTAGTTTGCATAACAAACTTACTTACACTTTTAACTCCTTCCCTGGTTTTCATTTTGTATCAAACACATCTGTAAGATATATACACACAGGGGAAAAGGAGGAGTCAATTTGATCTGTAATCTATAATAATTCATTGAAGATATTGAAGATCTTTGACATATTTCAAAGATCTAAAATTTTATGGAAATAGTTCCCTTAGTATTTCCTTTCAATTTTAAACGATTTGTATTCCTAGTTTGAATATAATTATCTTAAATAGTAACCTACCTTTAAATTGTATGTTCTATACATAAGATCAGATTGACCCTCATTTTGTTCAACTTTTTTCTGTGTCTATATATGCCAAGTCCTCTGTTTTGTCATTACTTTTCGCAAGGATCCTTTGGTCCTTTGTCGAGTACCTGTTTCCCTTTTTTCTGTTGCTCCAAATTCTCAACCGTAAGATCAGCATAACTCTACTCGTTCACTCCACACCACAAGAACAGATTCGAGGATCTAGGTTATATCTAGGCAACGGCAATTAGGTCAGTGGTCAGAGGTCAGGGGTTAAGAATAATATTAACTATAAAGCTCGTATCCCCAAAGTGCTCACTTTCCTTGTGTTACATGTGTACGTACATGTGTGTGGCGGCAGTAAAAATATCTTTTAATTGATATTGTAAAAAAACTGTGAAAGACGCGCGCAGAAATGTTAAAAAAAAACTATGTAATTTACTTTGAGTTGAGTTGTTAAATGGAACCTCTGTGTCTATGATTTCTATGATTATAAACGTTTAAATCCTTTGCGTTCGATTACCAATCGTTTTGTTTACCAAGTATATTGATAACCTTAACCCTCAACCTACTTAATATGTGTGTCTATAAGGTCTCAATCCAATAAAAAACCGACATAGAACCAGACAAATCGCTGTACCATAAAGCCAACTCAGTTTGTACATTATACAGTTGTGTGATTCCCCCGATGTTTGTTTCGTGTTGTGCGCCTGCTGCGCTTCGAGTCCACCCAGACCAGATCCTGAATATACTAAATATACTATATACATATATCCCCGCAGAATAATAACTGCCGGAACATACACACACACACACTCCTCTCTCTAACACACACTCAAACACAGTCCAGATAGCACAACCTATCGCCGACATACTCGTATCGACACACTAAATCAAATCGAATCGAAAATGTATATCCTTTTTTTTTGGGTATTTTTTTATCGAACCATCTAACGTGCTCGCTACGCTTGAGAACTCGTTCACTTGTGCCGCGGGAAGAATCCTTTGCTTTCTTTCACATTTCTTCAGTTGAGTCTCCGATTTATCGCTTCTGTTGGTATTCTGATAATCTATATATATTTACGAGATTTACGATTTACGATTTACGTCTTACGATTTCCTATTCATTTCTTTTGCCGACTTTGAAGCACTCAAATCAATATCTTCATTGCACTTTGTACAACTCTTTGAACTTCTGTTGAAGGCATATTTCCGCAACTCAAGGGTTGAGGAGTGCTTAATCTCTATATATATCCAAAAGGATCCCCCATCCGCCCACAAATCCCCACCTTAACCCCCAACCCCGTTCCACAACCACACCCTCCCAATGAGATACGTACAAGTACAGTTTCTTCAGACCCTTGTAAAACATTGCCTAAGATTGGAAACCACCGTATATATTATATACATATTATGATTTATGTTTATTTTGTTTTTGATACGCTCAACGTAAGCGATTAAATGAAAGTATTCTGCTAAACGCGACTAACCAACTTATGATGCTTATGACAAATCAGTTTAAGAGCCACAATAAATAAAAACAAAACAAATACAAATACCTAGCTGAATCAGGGCCTAAAATACCTGTGTATATATATGGTTTTTAGATTCTGCAGAATCTACAGAAAAAAAGTGCTGATCGCAGAGGGAGAATGCACAGAAAAGACAAAGATGGCTTGACAAAAAGCAACCTAATTCTCAAGGTAAACCATCCAATAAAAAAGTAACAAACCAAAAATCAAAATCAACAACACAACAACTTCAGTATATTATTATATTGATAAACAAAAAAAAAAAACCAAAAGCCTTGATTGATTGATTGAAATTATGATTATGTATTAATTGGTGGCGGCATAGCTCACATTTTTTGAGTAATGTTTAAGCCAAAATTGAGTTTTAGTGCATAATTTCGTTCGATTGTTCGTTCGTTCGATTGTTCGTTGATCATGTTTGCTTGATTTTAATGTTCGTTCGTTCGTACGTTCTGTAAATTTTCTGAGACTGCCATTTTTAATTACCTTAATTGATTGATTGATTGATATTTGCCATACATAATCTCTATTTCCCATTTGATGCATTATGAAAATCTCAATGCTACGAAAACGAAGAAGAGAGTCTAGCCACAAAAAAATAGAAAGCAGTCAACAAACCAAAAGAAAATGACGATCTTCGGTGTAAAATCGAAGCACTTTTCATGCTCTTCCCACGATGTAGAATCGGTCAAAAAAAGGATACTGTAATATATACTTTGCTAGATTCAGCTGTAGCTTTTGACTCCATGCATGGGCATGATCGGAGATCCTATCGTTGTGCCACCCAGATTAGCTGGGCCTTGGAGTCGCTGTGAAGAGCATGAAAACGCTACAGATCTCAGGAGATATTACGGATTGCTTAGTGTGTGTGTGTTTTTTGAATGCTTTCCTGCTTTTACTAGAAAAGAGAAGAAATGTTACCACTGTAAAAACACGCAACCAAAGTGCATCAAATCACGCACAAAATATGTACATAGTCGGATGAGTATGCTAGCTACTGGCTGATGCTGCTTATGTTGTAGGTTTAGGTCTTAGATCCAGACACGAGACACACATGAGATCGATCTGCAGCAGGGAAACTGATCCAACGACCAATCAGATCGAACACGAACACTGTACTATATCTAGCCACATACTACTCGTATTCTATAGCATACATTTGTGGGCCCGTGCCAAACGCTTTCCACATATCCTTAACCTATATCGTATCTATCGTACTCAACCTAACCTCACTTTGATTGACACTTCTGCTCTCAATGCTTTTCGCTTTTGTGCTGCGCGCTTTCGAACTCTCCACTTTCTCTTGCTCTCGCCCGAAATACACAGAGAAAAATAATGAAACAATATATGTAAAAGAAAAATTTTAACGAATGTGAAAATAATTTTAAAATATCAGATAATAAAGGTAAAATTATATAAAATATATAGAGTTATAATCTGATATGTTAAAAATTATTACATAAAAGCAGAACAATTTTTGCCATTTGAAAATATTTTTCATTACAAAGTAGACCTCTTGATCCCTCTTTATGTGAATATATATTTTTTCTCTGTGTAATATAAAAACTCTGTTTTGCTGCCGCTGCTACTGTTACTTGTTGTTTTGTTACTGTTTTGTGTTTCGGTTTGGTTTTGGTTTCTCCACTTTTCTCAATTATTATATATTTATTATCTCTGCCTCCTTTTCCTTTTCTGTTGTACAAAAGATTTCAGGAGGAGCGCGTAAAAAGAAAAATAAAGAAAACAAAAGAACTAAGCTTTTTTGGAGTGACATCCACCCACACACTCACACACACATGTACACGCACACACGCAGCCTACAGCCACTGAATTCTTGAATGCAACAACAAAGAACAAGCGTTTCTTTTATTATCTCAATACCGCTCCCTCTCTGCCTTTCTCTAACTCTCTCTCTTGCTCACTATGTTTCTCTCAATCTCTGTGTTCCTGCTCTTGCTCTATGTTTTCGTTTACCGTTCGTTTGGTTATTTCGTTTCAAATTAATTTCTGGTTAATATTTCGTTGGTTCGTTTACAATTTACAATAAAACTTTTGTACAGAATTACGTAGTTCAAATTACTAACAAAACTGCGAAAGTCAGACAAAAAAAAAAAAAACGCTTTCATTGTAAAATACGAGTTTCAATTTCGATAATTTGAACGTTTGAACGGCTTAGTGTCCATAATTATATTTAACAAAACGTAAAACAAAACAAAAAAAAAAACAAAGAAAAAACAAAAGTAAAGATGACACTTGTACCATAATCTAGCAGCTGATTTTGCACATATTAAAAAAAAACGTAGAAATGGTTTGAATTTGAATTTGACTTTGAATTGATTGAGTTTGGATTTGATTGATTGCTCAGGTTGTACACACTGTACACAAAGTACACACCGGACACACTGTTGTATTGCCTAACACTAGACTAATCTTATCTTATGTTATCTTATCGGCCGCACCATATCTCCACTCCACTCCGGGCCACTCTGTTGCGATCTGTGTAGCATACTTATCGGCTAACGGAGATTGACTTCTGGGAACAGAGTGGAGAGAGACGGAGGCGCCGCCGATTGATTGAGTAATTTCTTGTTTAATGGCTGTGGTTTGGTTTGTTTTAGTTGCTTTGATTGGCATAATTGCAATAACTGTTTATATTTACCGGTAGCTGGAAACGCCAAAAGTCACAAACAAAAAAACAAAAAACTATGGGCCAAGTTCCGAAGTAAAATAAAATTAATATAAAATTTCCTAGTTCCAAGTTTCATTTTCTCGTTTGGGTTATTCTTTCTCTCGTTTACTTGAGACATTTGGTTTTATATACAATATGTGGAACTCACACACCCAGATGTAACACCTATACACTATCAAAAACACCGAAACACACACCATGTCATTGAGTAAGGAGTTGCTGGTAAATTATATAGAAATGTTTGAGAATGAAATCCATTAAAATTGTGTTCAAAATATGCTACAAATGGAGCTCCAGAATGGAAAAATTCGAAAAGTAAATGGATATATTCTTAAACATATTTTTAAAAGATTGCTTATAACTTAAATTATAAGATCTACTTCTGATAATGCTCCAAGAGTCCTTATCTAGTAGCTCCTTACTCTTCGTCTACATACACACACCCCACACCCAGTTACACAACTCAAACACACACACATATGTATATGAGCGGTGTTGGACCTTGGTTGATGTGCACAATTTTTGATTGACCTCTCTGGTTGCAGTTCCTCAATATGGCCTCGGTCTTCATGAGGATCTTCAATTTAATTTGCATGATGCTCCTGATCGGCCATTGGAGCGGTTGCTTGCAGTTCTTAGTGCCAATGTTGCAGGGTTTTCCATCCAACTCCTGGGTCTCCATCAACGAGTTGCAGGTGCGCCTTGTTCTTTTCATTGGTAAATCCCAATCAGTGTATATAATCTCATTAAAATGGTCTATTTGCAGGAATCCTACTGGCTGGAGCAGTATTCTGGGCATTGTTTAAGGCCATGTCGCACATGCTTTGCATAGGCTATGGCAGGTGAGTAACAGGAATTGGTTTATATTTAATATATATACATACCTTCTAAACCTGCATTTTTCTTCATAGATTCCCACCACAATCACTGACAGACATGTGGCTAACGATGCTATCGATGATATCCGGGGCCACCTGTTATGCATTGTTCCTGGTCATGCGACCAATCTCATCCAGAGCTTAGACTCTAGCCGGCGCCAGTACCGCGAGAAGGTCAAGCAGGTGGAGGAGTACATGGCCTATCGCAAGCTACCGCGTGATATGCGGCAGAGGATAACGGAATACTTCGAGCATCGGTACCAGGGTAAATTCTTCGATGAAGAGTTGATACTTGGCGAGTTGAGCGAGAAATTGCGCGAGGATGTCATCAACTACAACTGCAGGTGGTAAATATCCTTTAGGATCATTAATTAATATTTTGTGAGGTATTCATTACTAATCCTTATCCTTAACTTGGCCTTCATAGATCCCTCGTGGCGTCAGTGCCTTTTTTTGCTAATGCCGATTCGAATTTCGTTTCCGACGTAGTTACCAAACTGAAATACGAAGTTTTCCAACCAGGTGAGTTTAAGTTAAGAGGACTCTTTTTAAAAAATATTAATTAATTGAATTGAACTGCTATATGGTGATATACACATAAGAAATTCTACTTAAAAATTAATATAATATAGTTTCGGTCTTAATGAAGGTGATAATTGTAAAAAATAATACGAATGTCTTGTTAAAGCTTTGAGAATATTTAATTTTTATTTGGCTTTGGTTTTGGTTTGAGCTGAAATTATATAATTAACACCTTTCGCGATTTGCACGCATTAAAAACCACTGAAAATGATGCCTTGCAACATCCGAAACACTGCTTCTATAAGAAATACAAATAAAAAACATACTTATCACCAACTCCATCCCGAGTTTACTATTTTAAAATCAGTTTTTTTTTTATCTTTATATATCTTTCAATTACTCATACCATTATCTAATGAGTTCCTTGAATGTTTCAGGTGATATTATCATAAAGGAGGGTACGATCGGTACAAAGATGTACTTCATACAGGAGGGCGTGGTGGACATTGTCATGGCCAACGGCGAGGTAACTATAGCCTATATATAACATGTTAACCTTTTATAATTTATATGATGATTTACAGGTTGCCACCTCACTATCGGACGGCTCTTACTTTGGTGAGATCTGTCTGCTGACCAATGCGCGTCGTGTGGCCAGCGTGCGAGCCGAAACCTATTGCAATCTATTCTCGTTGAGCGTGGATCATTTCAATTGCGTTCTGGATCAATATCCGCTGATGCGCAAGACCATGGAGACTGTGGCCGCCGAGCGGTTGAACAAGATTGGCAAGAATCCAAACATAATGCAGCAGAAGGACGAGCAGCTGAGCAATCCAGAGTCGAACACGATCACGGCTGTGGTGAATGCTCTGGCTGCCGAAGCGGATGACTGCAAAGATGAGTGAGTTGCCCAAGGGAATCATTTAATTAAAATATGAGTAAAAGTATAACAAAAGCCATTAAATATCAAAAGCAAGAAGGGAACAAACTTCGGGAAACCGAAGTTTTATACTCTTGCAGTTTGCATTTGCATTAAAGGATCTAATCAGAAATCGATTAAAAATAACTTAAAATGTTTACATTCTTTGAACATCTTATTCAATTATAATGCCTCTGCAAGGGTATAATAATAGTATATTTTTAAATACTTGTACTAATATCACGCACATCTGTTTCAGTGACATGGATCTCAAGGAGAATTTACTGCATGGGTCAGAGTCGAGCATTGCTGAGCCGGTGCAGACGATACGAGAGGGATTGCCGCGACCGAGGAGCGGCGAGTTCCGTGCTCTGTTCGAGGGCAACACTCCATGACACTGAGGCACGACGACTATGATGATGATGAGGACGACTAGCGGTGCCGGTGGGCACCGGGCAACCATCTGAGTCCATCGGCTCGCAGGACACTCACTCAGCCACATCTCGACATCCACACTCACACTCACACACAAGACTCCCATTCACTCACACATGCGTATATAATAATTTAGTAAAAGGAACCCCAAGACGCGATAAGAGTACACTAAAAAAGAATCAATTTATGGTAGACACTCTATATATGCAATTGCGATTTAGTAGAAAAACGTATTAAAAATGAAAAATAAAAAAAAAAAAAACAAACAAAAAAAGAACAAACAAAACAATTACACAAAAAATGTCCTCAATAATTATTCATAATTTCAGCTCCGCTAACTGTGATGACTTTAATATAAGAATCGAAAAAAAAATTAACAAAAAAAAGTGAAACCGAGACACAGAGAAACCGAGTACATACAGATATAAATTATACGATAGAGAAGAACTCAGCAGCAGCCAGCAGACAAGACGACAGATCAGATCAGAAAATCACAACCACGCAGCCATAGAAGAATTGCCACACACACACACACACAACACAAGACACTCAGACACACCACATACTAGATACCGACATATAAAGTAAATCTACATCTAAGTTTTATGCCCACGATATTGTAACGATAACGAAGTGAATAGACTTTTGAATTGCTACACATAGGTGTTAGTCCTATGGACCTACTACAAAACCACACACATGCTAAGCACACCTGTAGCTGGCCAGGTGTACCATACCACACACAGGTGACCGGATCGAGAGGTAAAACAGGCGACAGGCGACAGTCAGACAGACATATGCATTAACTTATGATATAAACGAAGCGAAGCGTTACAGCATACCAAAACATATTTATGCGCGTAGCTATTATGTACTCGAGCAACCAACAAAACAAACAAACAACCAACAATTATGTATTATTGCGATTATATAGCATATTTAAATACGCATTGCAACAAAACAAAACAAAACCGAAAGGGAAAACATAACTCAGCAATATACAAAATAAAAACAAACCCAGAAACGAAACAAAAATTAAAAGTATTTAAGCAAATTAAACGAAATGCGCATTAGTAGTTGAACTATTAGTTTTTCACTCACTAAACAAAAAACACCACTCGACACACAACGTAGTAGAGAAGCCTCAACAAAAAGAAAAAATGATAAAAAAAAAAACAAAAATATATTAAAACCAACCTCAGGGTGCCGTCGTTTCAACGGTCACCAGAAAATAACAAAAAACAAACAGACGACAAGAAACCAACTATATACACAACATATATATACAAAAAAACATAGACAATGTTGTCTTTTATAGGGAATTGTTAAAAATAAAAGCCGCCTCAGTTACATTTAAAGTATTTATTGCCGGCCTGCCGCCGTGCAGCAAGATCATTATTATTTTCCATTTAGATTTCGAATTTTTCGTTCAGAGATAACATATATATATTTATTTGATATCTTGGTTTGTTTTACTTTCTGGCATAAATCAGGCGAAGAACACCAGCGCGACTTGTTCAACGATTTATGTAACTTAGTATTTTATTACACGTAAACTAATAAAAACGAAAAGCAGAAGGACAGCGTTTGCCTTAAAAATAATACAAATTACGAGTTTCATTTTTCTGATATCCACATATCGAAATTATCTGCGAAATTAAAGTCATTTAGTGGAGAAACATAAGAATAACTGCGACATTCTATGCCAATTTAACCTAATCTATATGCTATAAGTAATATAAGGTAACATAGGTCTAGTTTGTGTAGCAGCGACGCACCCAGCCAGACTCAATAAGGGCCCTGTTAAGGTTCTTGTTGAGCGGCGCCACGGTTTCCGGATCTACCAGCACCAAATAGGCAAAGTTATTCTGTAAAGATTGAGTTTAGAAGCTGCTAAGCTATAGTAAGTCCCACGACACTCACCTTAACGCCCTCGATCTTGGCGTAGAGCCGGCGAAATGAAACCAACCTGAAGAAGTACTTAACCGCTTCGGCTGACCATCCCGGACCCTTCCAGGGCGTTATAAAGGCTAGGCGGCCATTTAAGCATTGCGGCGGAAGCGTGGCAAACTCTTTAAGCAAATGCCTCACATCCTTGTGGCTCACACACATCACCTCACCGGTGTCGACCAGTTGCACCTCGATAATCTTACTCGAGTTCCCAGGCTGATGTCTAACCACTTGAGCTCGTTCCCAAGCATTATTTTTGCTGGATCGCACCGCGCAGATATGATCTGTGGTGATCAGGCACAATGGCATTGTGTACTTATCTGGAAACTGACTCTCATAACAGACTCTACAGAAAAATATTTGGATTATTGCCGAATAAATCGATGTGGGCAAAGTTAACTCACTGCATACTGAGGTACATAGCCTTGTAGTCCTCATACTCTTCGTTGTATATCCAAAAATTGAAGCTGTGCGGATGCTCCACCCGCACTAGCTGAACTTCGATGCGCTGCCCTACCTCAAAAATGTCTGAGGCGTTGCGAACTGGCAGCTTGAAATCGGAACGAATGCAGTCTTTTGGATAGTCAACACTTAGAACGCGATCGTCCTAAAAATGAATTATGGATAAATGATTGCTGTAAGCTTTTAAGCCAGAATTCTTACCACAGCATAAGCTGGAATGGCACTCTCATCGCTCCCGTCATCAGAGGACTCGTAATCTACGAAGGGATTCCTGGAGCTTGAGGTAAGCTGTCACAGGGTGAGGATCGGTTTCCTCCTAAAAATAATTTTATTATTACCCAATAATTTTATATTTTAAGCTAGATTTTACCTCATCCGAGGACTCTATGAAGGGGTTATTGCGTCCCCGAGACTGGTCTATACTTTCCGGAGTTGCGGGCTTCGACAAGGATTCCGGATTGAGTTCGCTTTGGGAAATAGGCTCGAGTTCAACCTCTATTGCTTCCGCAATGGGGCTGACCAGATCCGGCTTCTCTTCCCTTGTCGCCGACGATGACAATATTTCATCTTCTGAACTGAAGTCATCTCTAGTCCACTTATCGCCATCAGACACGTAAGGTTCATTATCCAGGGGATCTACAAATCCAGTTGGAGCCGTATTCTCCGTCGAAAGTTTCTTGAATGAATCTACCATTTCCTTGATTTCGATTTGTGGTTTTTCCGGGAGACTGGCCTGAACGACCGCATGTGGCTGAGGATTTCGAACGATCAGTACCTCGGGTCTTGTAAGATTTTGCCTTGGAGGGTTTGGTGCGATCTTGGGGTACATCGGAACGTTCTGCGGATAGGGATATGGAAACGGGTTCAGCATCCCAAAGGTTTGGTTAGGCCACAACATCGGTGGGTTAAAATAGGGAACCTGTTGCTGCTGTCCGGCGCACATTAGGGCGTTTATATTGGGATAGACCACTGGCGGGGTCTGTACAGACGACTGTAGTTGGGATAGGAGATGGGCACATGGTGGACTGGTTGCTGGTATTGCCTTTGCTGCTGCTGCTGATGTTGCTGTTGCCATTGCTGCTGATGCTGCATGTTCCGGATTCTTTCGTTTATAAATTTCAGATCCGATTGTTCCGAGCGGTAGAAAAACTTGGCTTTAATTTTGCCCGACTACGTTTGCTGGGCTTCTTCTGGCACTGGACCAGGTTTTGTATGTGCGCCGAATTCGCAGTGGTCACCGCCAGCACGTTGGCTGTAGGTCCATGTCCCATTACCTATAATATGGTTGTTTAGCAGAGTGTCCATAGTGTTGTAGGAGTAGAACTTACCAGAACAGTGTCCGGAATGGACCGCAGTAAGCTTTCCATGTCGCGGAATCCCAGCGTGCTATATGGCACGTTGCAGCCCTCCTCGCTGCGGTAGTCGCGCATCAGCGTTTCGATGGTCATACGCTGTGGACTGGACACCACAAGCGAGTGGATCACCTTCTTCACATAGCTTAATTTTCCTTCACTCTCCATTTTGACTGGTCTTGGTCAAAATACGCGGAAATATCAACTTTGTGGCGGCGGCGGCATGCTTTGAAATCGATGTTTAACTGTAAAAACTAGGGTTGTTGATAATATATCAAAATATCAACAAATCGAGTCTCAAAATTGCGCTAAGGGCTGCCAACTCCTCTAATTGCGAAGCACTGAACAAAATATTTCTCTTAGTATGTGCTTATGGGTATTTAGACCCTATAAGTCATATATATTTTTGATCAACAACCATGTCAGCTAGAAAAAATACAATTATAAAATTTTTTACTCCATCGTTATTTTAATTGAATATATACATCAATATATCGATGTAACCGCTCAAAACAATCGATTGAACTGTGCTGCCAGACGTTTAAAATGTACGTTAAGGGATTTGGCGCTATTTTCAAAACCGGTTCAGCCATATGGCGGTGTCGGCTTTCATTTAATTTGTTTTTGGGTACTCCTTTTTTTATTGTTTACTGTAATTCTATAGCCTCGCCAGACGTCCTTCCCTGTGAAATTCAAGTAGCAGAAGGAAGCTACAAGTTCAGCACAAGTTCAAGTCACATGTGGGGCTAGATGGAAGAAGACCACCGGCAAATGGAATGTTTTTTTTTTTTACTTGGGCCTGGGTAGGGATCATCTGGGAGTCAGTTAGTAGTTGCTCCGGCTTTTTAGCCAGAACCTGGCCATTTAGATTGGCAATTGCGGGGTTACAACATCCGCTTACAACCTGGGCGGCGGTATACCGATAAATCATAAGCCGCCAACTAGCCCGTTTTTCCGGGAAGGTACAGTACAATTTCCACTCTTAAACACACACACATGACACATGAACTTGTCCAGAGACGACAGTGGTTCCATTAATAATTTTCACACGACCGGCGACGAGTGCTAGCCATGTAAATGTTACAGGAGGGGCTTTACTCCGCGTCCAGATTTTCTGGATTGCGTAAGCTGATACGTTTGGGTTTTATGCAGCAGCATAATTATATTCTTTATACTGTTTATTATGGGGAAACAAGAACGGGAACAGCAACAACTTTTTGTGGCACTTTTGGTCACTTTACAAATAGTTTGAGGAGCACAAGAAACAACAACAATAAAAAAAGCTTGATGGGATCTCTGCAGATCGCTATGAGCGGGTGACTTGGCAATCAAACCGGTTGTCCCTGCTCCAAGTCTTTGGGTCTCTCGTGCGCTGTATATAGTGTGTTTGTGTGTGATTTATAGTTACGCACAAGCGCGCAAATCCAATTAGACGAACTGGCTGACTGACTGACTGACTGACTCGCAGACAGACTGACAAACCAAAGCATGGCCCGCAGCAAATGCCGCCAGGTTATATTATAGGATGGCCGCTGGTCCAAACCGATTCGATCTGAAGATCGTGGATCAAGCTCCCACAGGCACAACGCCATCGCCACAGTGGACATTGGCTAATAGGACATGTCGCGGGCAAGACTAATTTGCAGTACTTAATTCCTTAACTTGCATAGCTTTATAGCCTCAAGCTACTTCTACAAGGTACACTTTCTCCAAGTGCATATTCCATTTCAAAAACAGTGCATATACCTCGACCCAACTCTAATCCAACGATAACCCATTTATCTGCCTTTTACTGTACTCAAAGAGATAGATTCGGGTCGGGAGACTGTATCTGTTTTTGATGTTTACATCATCGCCAATGGCGGAACTTCATTCCCCGGCCACACAAATGTCGTCCATCGTCCGTGGTCCATCGTCCACCGTCCACGGTCCGCTTTTGTTGCATTTTTAAAAAAAAAGTATACACATTCAGAGAGCGAACGAATGAAGAAAAGCAAAACTGCAGCAGCGGCGCATCTTTATCTAAAAATTGAATTGAAATGTATGTCATAATACCTTTGGCATGCCGGCCAGTTGCTTGACATTAAAAATGCACTCCCCTGCGTAACTCCTCCCCCCAGTCAAAATACGAAAAAAATACAAAACAACAGAAAAAAGCACACATGGCTGAATGCAAATTTGCTGCCATATGGAGCAGAGAAGCCGATGACGTCGTTTGCCGTCTCTCTGAAATTGAAATGCAACTCACATTTGGGGCCCGCTCCTAGTAGTTTGTATCACTTTTCGATTTTAGCAAAAGGGCCCTGGCCCCGGCTCGACCGTTTCCCACGTTAAATGGGTCTCCAGTGCGCCATTATTATATCGCTCTACGGAGATCTGGGTCCCCGCATGAGGGAGTGTTCCGCCACACGTTCCGCACACCTGAATGCCTAAACAGATAGGAGATCCGACCCTAGCCACGGAATCGGGGAATCGGAATCGGAGGAGTAGTCTCCGGATAAGCGATAACCTTCGGGTGATTTCGGGGCTTTTCCTATGGAAAGTCAAAAAGCCGGTCTACGGATTTGGTAACAGCCGCCGGACAATAGACCGAATTTGGTAGAGGTCGCAAAGGGGAAGGGGGCAAAAGCAGATTGATTGATAGTCGCGGCACATTCCAAGCTTCCCTTTGAGTGCACAGAGAGGAAATAAGTGTAGATTGTAGAAATTATAATATTAACTTAAGAAAAAGTTCGTTTTTTTAATACTATAAATAGAATTTATTTTATAATAATATTTATAACGTTGCGTTGTTATATTATTTATTTACATTCCAAATATCAGCTCAATTAGACAAGTATTTATGCACAAGAGAACTTATAGTCTTTCCCCAAAGGATTCGCTTTATTCTTTCCCCGAAAAGTACGCTATGCTTTTTTGAACTAAAGAAAATATGGTTGCCATATAAATATATAAATTTTAATAATATATAAATCGTTAATTATTGAGATCATTTAGCTATCGATTATTTTATTTGAGCTAATAAAACCCAAACCTGAATTTAATAACAAGATAATCCAAAGAAGGTATAGGTTATTTTCCAGAGCTTCCTCATTAAAGTTGACATATTTTTCCCAGTGTACACCCCCTCCATAAACTTGTTTTCGCCGCCTCTCTTTACCCCATTCCCCCCTCACAGCTTTGTAACTCTCTTGTGTCTTTTGCAAAGCAAATGCGATTGGATCAACAAGCCAAAGCGATGATTAATTGGGAATGACGACTGGAGGTGCGAACCTCGAGCTGGGAATCCGACATGGGAGTATTGGAGGAGTATGTGCCATTCCAACGAAGATGGGTCAGAACCAAAAACAGATCGTCTAAAATCGTTCAATGAACCAATCGGAAATAGTCACAAAAGAAAAGTGATACCCAAAGATCGCGAATCTGTCTAGAAATAGACACCATCGACACCGTTGATTGGTCTTTGTTCTGGCTTTTCGGGATACTGGCATACTGGCCATATGATATTTGCATGTTTTGGGCTAACCTTTCGCTTATACCGTTAAATCTGCGCCACTCTCTTGGCACGGCCGTAAACAATAAATTAGCCAAAGCAGAAACAAAATGCCTCATTAGCACCTGGTTTGCGTGCGATATGCGAGAGCTTTCGATTTAACGGTTCGGTCATGCCCGATAAAATTATGGTAACTAAAATATGATTTGGGCCAAAAAGGGTCAAGTTCAAATTGAAGGGTTTTTCAGATTCTTTTCCGGAAGGAAAGGTAGTTCAAAGTTTAAATAATTAAGTTCTATATCAAGGTCTCTCCATTTATATGTAATCTTGGAAATTAAAACACTGTTGTTCAATTAATAGTATTAAGTTCTTGAAAAAGAGTTTAAATACCAATAATAAATGTTAATATTGTAATATACTAAGTTTGGGTGTAAAAGTGATAAAGACTATAAAGAACCTTCTCTTTTAACAAACATTTTTTATATTATACATATAATAAGACTCAAGTAAGTAAAATTTTATAGTTTTACACAATAAAAACTTTATTAATTAAATATGAAATAATTGATCAATTATTTGTTATTATAAGAAGTTATGCCTAAAATCCCTGATATTAAATACAATTTTGAGGAATATTCCTCTAGATATTATTTGGTGATCTTTTTCCATCCAAATTAAGTAATTGATCAATAATTTTTGATGTCCAGAAGTTCAAGATCGGAGACCCAACTTCGTTGGTGGTCTCCAGCTCCCGCTTCATCTTCCTCTTCTCCTCCAGAAACCTCCTGAGAGCACACACTCTTAATTAAAATCAACTTGCGCTGAAAATCAAAAGTGCAAACAGAACATAAATCAACTTTGAGTGAATCAGAATGGGAATGGAAATGGTTAGCAGAGTCCCGGGCCCGAATCCTCAGAATCTCTGTGATCTCGGATCTCTGTCCATCGTTTTGGAGACTCAACGGCCTTGCTTATCAGCCGTTCTCCTTTCCTTTGTTCATCCGCTGGCTCTTTTGGCTGGCTTTCTTGCCACACGATGTTCTTATTCCCTTTGTTTTCTTTTTTCGGCTTTAGTTTTTGTGCGTGTTTTTTCTCTTAGTTTTTTTTTTTTTGTTTTTGGCTAAGTTGCAGGCCATTTTGCCGCAACAGGTTCTTGGCTCGCTTGGATCTCTACATCTCTCCCTGTCGCTCTTATGGCCCAGAACTGGACACAGCAACAGGTTCTGAGTCGGGAAAGAGCCAGCTCCTCTACGCTCTTTGCTCTCCCTCTCAGAGAGTGCAGCTCCTCTCTCCGCCACTTAGATAAGTAACTTTCAATACGAAATACAAATATACCTGTTTGCTTTGACTCTGCTTGATAAGAGGCTCTGCTCTCTAACCCCCATTAGCGAATGCACTGAATTTACCACTGGGTCTTTGGGCCTCTCTCTTGCTCTCCGCCCTCAGTTTGCAGGTAGTTTTACCTGAGTCTCAAGACGCTCTCATGTAGTCATTCTTCGGTACGCTCTCTGTCTCTCAGGTGGACTGATTTCCAGCTGGCAAGCAAACGTGGCCCAACCTTTGTATTAAAGGTATTATAGACTTATGGGTCAGTATGTAACAGAAGCAGGAAATAAATATTAATAGTTTTCGAGGAGATATTTAAATGTGAAACTTTAGTTATACCACTAATGTCAATTAAAAGGTAATTAACATTCCAAAATGATGATATTAGAATCTCTGATATTGAAATAAAGTTTAATAAAGCCCTGAAATATATATAAAGATTAAGAATAATAGTTAAATATCAGTTACTGCTACTATTTAATAACCATCATGGCAAAACATTCAATCCCGATGAGTAGTTTCAGAAAGTACAGGGTATCCCCTCAGCGACTATACTGGCTCCTCTGAGTACAGCATTTTTGCAATCCAAGAGAGAGAGACAGAGAGAGACAATACAGCAGAGAGACGTGTGCCACCACGAGCTTTGCCTTCTGATCGCGAGCCTCACAGTTTTCAGTCATCTTTTGGCTTTTTCACCGTGCACTTCAGGAGGGAAATCGGAACGGCAAGGCCGAGGGAAATTCAGAGCGTTGCATGCCCCGCGATTCGGGGCTCGTGTCCGCATATTGCCCGCGCGTGTGTGTGTGTGTGCATGTGTGCTAGCTTGTGAGTTAAAAAATAATTAAGCAACCAAACGGCACAACAAAAATTAAATGCATTTGCTACTACTCAATGAAAAATGCTGTGAATAAGTTTAATCAGCTCTCAAGCGCTCATAAAAAAGATAATGAAAAGAAGAAAAACAAAAGTGAGCCAGAGAGAAGTCGTAAAAAAAAGAAACACAAATGAAAAAGCCAAATAACAACAACAACTACAATTAGTGGCCAAAAGCACGAAACGGCATATAAAACGGCAAAACCCAAAAAAAGTGTCGTGTAAAAATGCGCCTGAAAAATTACAAAATTCAGCAAACATAAACAAAAAACAAAACCGCGTACAAAGATCAACCTTCGAGACTGACAAAGGTTCTTCCGCTTAAAATAATTCGTTATTCTGGAAATATGTATGTTTTTTGAGAGTTTTAGCGGGTGGCAAAGAAGTTTCTGATTCTCCCTTTTCTCCACCATCTTTGTATTCTTCTCCTTCTGCTTCTTCTCACTTTATTTTTTTTTGTGGCTGCCCCAACGAGTTTTCCCCCAACAACAAATACAACGATTTTTCCAACCAGTTTTTGGCGCTTGCCATTTTCCGCGCTTCAAAACTTCTGCCCCTTCTTTGGTTTCTTCTGCTGCTTCTTCCTCATCGTCTTCTGCATGTGAGGAGCCGAAGAAAGAGGGAGAGAGCGAGATAGTCTGGAAGAAAGACCGCCGAGAGAGACAGGCATAGAGTCAAGGTGGAGCTCCCCAAGCAGCTGCAAATTTCGCTTGGGTCAGTTTCAAAGACGAAACATATATTTTTTGAACTCGTTTCTATTTCATTCTAATAAAAATCATTACCCCCTCGTAAAAAATTAAAAAAATAACGCTAAATAGGTGTCTGTCAGTACGTGTTTTGGATTATCTTTGCTCATTCGACACAGAACACAATTGCGGTAAGAAACTTAATTCATAAAGCAAATGTATCTCTCATTTGGATTTGGAATTGTGGTTCGTGAGACACCCAAGAAGTTACATAAGACACCAAAGCCACCAAAATAGATTCAGAGAACCAGAACCACCAGAGAGGTGTTTTCTTCTCGACTTGATAAAGGAGTGTTAGAACGCGGAACAAAGAAGGTTAGCAACTACAAAAAACACTAATGCAATTGAAAAATTGATAAGGCAGGTAGAGGAGAGTCAACTATAGGAAAATGGAGCAAATTAAGGTTGATACGAGCAAAGCACAAAGTGAAGCTACTCAAGCTTAAGGGGCTCCGAAACAAAATACAGGCATTATTTTAAAAGGTTGTCCATTAACTGTTTGTAAACATGATTTCTATTATATGATTTGTATTTATTAGGTTTCACATTTCCAAGCGAGAATAAATTTTCGAATAAATAAAACGAACATTAACTACCTTAGAAAGATCTTCTAGTAATATTACTTTTATATTCATGTGGTTTCGAATTTCAATCCTTAAACAACTCTAAACTCTAACTCTAAATATTAGATCAATTAAAAAACTACTTTTTAATATTCCACAATTCCAAAAGATTTCCCCGATTCGGCCTAAACAAAAGCCACCTAGACAGCCAGTGGAAAAATTTGCATAGACAACAAAGCTAGAAAAAAAAGAAAATAAAACAAAAATTTCTCGAGTGCTAAAGAATTCCAAGTCCGATTCTTCCAGCGATAACGGATGATAAAGAGCACGAAAGGCGGAGTGAATTATTCAAATCCCCTCCTCCGACCGGGCGACTTTTCTGCACTGCCATCCAGGGAAAGTGGGCGTTAATGGGCGCTTGGGTTGCATGGGCGAGTCCCGAAGGGGAAAGGAACTCGGAGCAGGCGTAGGGTTTCCATGTCCATGTCGTTCCAGTGACGACTTATCAACTGTCACGGCAGTGGTACAGGGACGACAAGGGGGGATCGCATAGCATCAACATCAAATACTACTCAAGAATTTCAAAGCAAACTTGTTTGCTCAACTTGCCAGCGATTTGTGGGAGGTGAAGGGGGCCTTTTGTCACACGGAAAGAAAAATATAACACTTGTGATTAGTCATCATTTTGTTAAAATTGAGTTCTAGTTATTTAACTTAAGGGGGACCATTTTTTGAAGGGCTTTCAAAAGTAATTTTTAGCTTGTTTCATTGTAAAATCAGGTCATATCTCAAAAAAGGATATTTTAGTGTGGCCTAGTTTGATTAAAAAGCATGCAGTGTGGCCATTTTGTACTAAAATCCTTGAACTAAACTGTACTGCTTCTTAGACAATAATTGCAAATATCATAAACATTGTAGAAAGCAATATCATTCAGATTTCTCATGCTCTAATTATTTAAAGATTAAAGTCCCACACTTGATATATAAAAATAGAACTAATTAAACATTTTTCTCTGTGTAATCAGGAAGGTAGGTAGGTGGCGAAGGTGGAGGTGGGCGCACACCGAGTTCAATACACTCGCCCGGCATTCAGTGACGAACGTTTGGGTGCTTTTGGGTATTTTGAACTCATTTCGAAATGCGTAAATTTTGTATTGTCTTTGGGGCCATTTATATGAGTGTGTGGTGCCGTTGAGAGATTGATTAAATTATAGAGATCTGTTGTCGGGCGGATGGGCTGTTCGGCTGCTTGTTGTTCGCCGATGATGATCTATTTAATTAGGAAGACAAACATCCACGGAATGCGCTGCGAGGCGACCTTGCCATATTTGACGACTGGCTTTTCTATCTGCTTTTCATTCCCAAGCCTTTTCAAGTTGTCAACTTCATTGGCAACCCACCCAGACCGTGTTCGCGTGTGTCGCGTTTCTTTTCTCCATGGAGAGTTTTATCTTATCGGGCTCTGTTACCGGCTTGGCAGGCTAAGACTAATTTTAATCTTATCTGTCACAACTAAGTAGTGCAAACATCAGTGGAACTGTAACCGAAATGGAGAGGAGACGGAGACCCAATGAATGCCTTCAGCGGGAATTCGGGTTCAGATCCGAGTTCCATTTATCCGACGGAGCTGTAAATTGCTCACATAATAAGCTGAAATTTCGTGGAAAGAAAACATGCAAAGTGTTTTCCCAAATTGCGCAAAAAGTGTGTTCTTCTGGTCTCAATTCCCCCCTCGAGTCCCGGAGTCCCGTCTCGTGTCAGCCCAGCTAAGCAAATAAACACTGGGAATGGAGATATAAGGGAGAACACCAGCAAAAGAATTCAACAAGCTCGCGAAATACCTTCCAAAGAAATTGCCATTTCATCATTATTTAGAGATAGAACGGGATGCGAAAGCTGGAAAAGATTTGGCCAAAGGTAAAAATAAAAAGGCAAAACAAGTGGTTTAAGAAGCCATCATCATCGCACTTTCTAAGATTTTTCCCCAAAGATGTGATGCTTAGGCGGAATTCATAAGGCCATCGAGGGGATTACGGTAATAAATATTTTTAAGAGTTTATTTTCATGACTTAATACTAGTGTTCATAGAGATGATGAGAGTTTTGATTGTCAGTGTCAGTTAAAATCATCTGCATTGTGTCCTTGGGGGATAGATTATTCGAATGTATATCTATATTTTGATGATTACTTTCAAAGAAGATTGTACTTCTATTAGTAAATAAAATTAAGCCAAAAAAATTTTACTTTCACCTTAAAAATGTCTGCTTTTTATACCATTGCATGGTATTATTATTTTAGTCAGAAGCTTGTAAAAATGTGGAGTCATTTTCGACCCTATATATTATATATATTCTTGATCAGCATCAAAAGTCGATCTAGCTATGTTTCGCAAAACTTTAATTTTTTCAAAAATTTCAAAATTCTATTTTAACATCGTTAAAATTTTCAAAAATTGACCAAAAATTAAATTTTTTAAATTTTTGCTGAACTTGCAGATTTATTAACCTTTAAAAACAAGCATGGAACAGCTTTCCGAATTAAAATTAATGCCTTTTTGAATAAGTTAGGAGTTTTTAAAGATTGATTTGTCGACAACAATTTTCATATAAACGTCTATAAATACCGATTTATAGAATGAAAATATTTTGGGCTTAGATACGATCCTACAACTTGATTTCAAACTGCAACAGTATATAAAACTATGGGTTCCTAAAGTTAGTTTTCTTTTTAACTAAATATGAAGAAATCCCTAGAAATTAATTTAAATTTGTCATAGTTAGTTGAACATTTCGTAGCCTTCTTTTTAGTGAGCCTTTCCGGGGGTTTTTGTGACTTTACATTTTAATATTTGCATTGCATAGAGTGCTAGGAATTCGCTAAGTAAATATTTGTGCCCCATTCCACTCGGCCTGTATCCATCTCACTCTCTCACTCTGGTGTATATATAGGCGTACTTTCCACCTTGGGACTGGCGATGATAAGATCCAAGCATCGAACGACCTTGTTCCCGAAGCCAACGACCTTCGCAATTTACCAAACCAATTACAACTTCCTCGGGGCAAACAGAGACTTAGCATCCTGCTGCGAGATAGTGATCTTGGGATGCAGGATTCAGGATCTGGGATTTGAGAGCTGGGTTCCGCGATACAACGGAAGTGGAAGGTGGAACAATTGTTGGGATCGCGGGATCTGCTTAGGTAGTTGACAGGATCATAAACAAATGCCGAAGAATGAGTTTCACAATTCGGATGTGCGGCATTGATCTCAGCGATCTTTCTCTTTCTCTTTCTCTGTCTCCTGCTGGCTCTTTCCCTCAGCATGTGGTGAGTGTGGATATGGGTGTGGGTGTGGGTGTATTCATTTGCAACTACCAAGAAGCGCGGCTTGGGAATACTTTTTTCCCATATTTCCATTATTTTTGTGCTGCTCTTTGCTGCAAGCGAAGCGCGGCGAAGCACTAAAGAAAGCATTGAACCTGCAGCAGGTTGCAACTTGCAATTGCCAGGCGTTTGCAGCGATGTTGCCAGGCCCTTTTTTGCGGAAATCCAGCGAACGAATTACATTTAATTGTAAATTTATGCGTCTGCTTCCTACCCTCCCCCCAGTGTATCCCCACCCCAAAAAAATCCCATTCTTTTACTTTGTGATTTAGTGTGAATGCCTCGCGATCTTCACCTTTGGTGTGAATATGCGGTTGCAGCAGTACGATGTACCTGAGTGTGTGAGAATTGACAAAATTATAATGAGTTGGCAAAGTTGGATAAGGCACTGGGAAAAACAAAGAGAAAATTGATATTAAAATGCAAAGTTTAAACAGAAATCAAGGTACTCAAGTTGAGATAGAAGTTAAGGTCCTTTAATGATTATTTTGAACTTTAAATACCACAAAATATAGTAACAATATCAATATAATAGCAAAGTAACAATACATTTTACTTCTTATTAATCTTTAAATATTAAGTGTGGTACTTAACTTGTGTTTCTGAAGATTTAGTATTCAATATGAAATATGTCTCATTAAGAACTTAAATCCTTTATAGATACAAGATCTTAATGATAAGCTACCTATTACTATTTCCAAAGCGTATTATTATTTTCTATACTCTAAAAAACAAATTCCTTTGGTAGTTAGAAACCCCCAGACTATGCTTGGGTTTTTTCCAGTGTTTAGCCTTGCAAACACCTTCGCCCCAGGTACAAATCATAACACATAACCGGGCAGGTAACAACTTCCATTCATCTTTGTTGCTGCTTTGTTACGCTTGTTAGTAGCTGACACTACACGGAGTACGGATTTAGAGAGACCTTTGGGCCCGAATCCCAACCGCTTTGCATGCGGCAAAAGACGCGGCGGCTAGGGTCTCAGGTATATATCTCAATCCGGGCAACTCAATCTCCATCTCGGAGCACTCTGTTTTTTCACTTTTTTTCGGAACATGACCACCTACGCAGCGGAGATGGATTTAAGCTGATAACCGCCACTTGGTCATGGCATTCAACAAGTGGAAACAAGGGGTCACAGTTCAAGAAAAGAACCGAAGGTTGCCAAAACAATATCGCCGAGATTTATGGTCCCTACTTCTTCGAGAGAGATTAAGATAGCCGGCAGTCAATAGGAAGGTAAAATGGGAATCCTATTTAATATTTTTGTTTTCCAAGAAGAGATGAGAAAAAAAAACACTTTTGCTAATAGAGATCAATGTGTTTATGCCTCGGCGGGGTTTTAGCCATTTGTGACCTCGCCATCGATTGGCTGGCAATAAAAACCCGTTCTGGGGACTCGAACTGGGAGCTACTGCTAACTGGAATTGGAACTGGGAGCCGACTTGCAGTTGGGATTTCGATTTGGATCGGATCCGGGGTTGGGGTTGGGAGTGGTGTGTGTTGTGTGTTGTGTATGGTGTGTGTATGTGCTTGTGCTCATTTCACTGGCGCCACTCAGTTTATGCATGTTTTCCGCATTAATTTTTTTTTGTTATTTGTCATTTCGCATTTTGACGGGGAATTTTCTGTGGCCAGCAAAAGTGTCTAATTTCGCCGCACAGTGCTGGCCAAAAAACCGAAACACGCAACAAGAAATGAGTACGACGCTTCAACAGTACTCACAAGTTGTCGACATGATTATTCGGAAATGACCGACAAATGAGTTCTACCCAAGGCCATAATTAACAAATTGTTAGTTTGTTCCGAGTGTGGAGGCATTGGCAGCAAAGAGATATATAGACTGTGGAAAGTCCAGGATTACAGGAGTCGAGAAAAGTGCACAGAGCCATGTCATTGCACTCCTGTAGCATCAGGAACAGCAAAAGCAGCAGCAAGCAGATTTATCTACCACGTACTTTGGCCCCATCCCGAAAACAGGCTTCCTCTTTGGGGGCTTCTTGCTTGGGCCTAGGTCTTCTGCCTTTTACAGGGAGAGAAAAATATTATTGGAAATATTGGAAAAGAGGTTTCGAATAGGTTGATTTGAATTACCAATCAATGGGTTGACATTGAATAAGATTTTTAATTTTAAATATATCATCTTTATTATAGAGCTTAGAAGAACGGAATTTGGGTTGGAAATTTTAAGGATTTCCAAAAAGAGGAAGCATAGAGTGTTTTAGGTTCTTTAAAATGAAAGGAATTGTGTTTTAATGAGATTTCATTATAACCAGTTAGTAGGTTTGCTTAAAAAGAGTTCAGATTAAAGAAACTAAATCCCATCAATATTTACAGCAAATTGAGATTCGATACCCAACTTTTAAAGTAATCCATATTAAGTTCTAGTCTCAGATCTAGGCCCGCTTTAAGACTCTTCCATTTAATATAGTTGTAGCTTTATATACAAGGACTTGAAAGGACTCTGCTTTCTGCCAGTGTACCAGTATGTCTGGGTTTGTCAACAGCCTGGCGGAATCCAGTTTTCGCCTAGTAGAAGCAGGAGCTGTGGCAAAAGTCGATGCTGAATCTGAAGCCGTGTGGCTGTAGCTGTAGCTGTATCTGAAGCTAAAGCTGAAGCTGAAGCCTCTGCAGTTCCAATTCCAGTTCCAGTTCTATGGGGACGAGCCAGCAGCAAACTCCAGCGACTCATAATTATGCATTAAACACTTGAAGTTTACGGGCCAGAAGTGGCAGCTGCAACTGCAACTGCGGCTTTAATGGACATCAATTTGCATGGAAACCATACATAAAACGATGACATTTCAAAGAGCCCCACTGCGTGGGCCGCCATATAGTATCTATATATGCAATATGCTATATGCTGTCCAACCGAAACGAAACGAAATGCAGTCGCCAAATCGCATTTGAAAATGCACAAATAAAACAAAAACAAACTTGTTTATTGGCTTAGACCCCCACGAACCCTCCTCTGCTGTGGCTCAGTGCATGTTGGCCGCTTCTCTCGTCTCGTCTTGACTCGTCTCGCGTCTCGTGGGTCAATGTTATGTAAACCTGGTTCACTTTTTATATATATTTATTCCTCTTTATTTTTTTCGTATGGATGTTTTACCCCACACACAGACATAATACGCTCAACTTATTACACAAAAACCCAAATAACTCAACAAATATTTACGGACGCAGTCAACAGAAATCGATTCAATTTTCTCCCATCCATCCCTCTCTTTCGCTCCGCCTCAGGCCGTCTCTTTCGGGCGCCGCCAGTCTGCTACGTGTCCTCTCTATCCGTCTATGTGGATATTCGTCTTACTGGTTTGGCTGCACTGCATTCCAAAGATGCGAGTTGCGGACCCGAGACCGGACCCCGATAACAGAAATAAAAGTGCAAAGCAGCCAGCAATCCAACAATCCAGCCAGCCGACCAAAAGTCACCACTAAAAATGTCGCCAGACCAAATTAAAATAATTTAACACATATAATTTCATGTATTTTTGTTTTTCGCTTGCATCATAACTCTTGGTCTCGCCCAGAGGTGGCCGAGAAAAATGCGATTGAAATGAAAATTGGTTTGACGGCAATCATTATAAGACATCAGTGGAAAAAGAGGGAGAAACTCTGAAACTAATTGCTGAAATCTCTTAAAACTTTATTGTTTTATAGTGTGAAATTAAATATAAATAATGAAATAACTTTTTATTTGAACCTTTTGAACAGTCAAAAAATATTTTAAAACTTTGAGATCTAGGTTCTTCTAGAGCTTATCCTCTTAGGCATAGATTTGAGTATCATTTATAGTGTTTAAATAAAATAATTAAATAAAAAGGTACTTCCTGACATACCCTAAAAGAAAATATTAAAAACTTTATGATTCAATTCCTTTAAAACTCTATGAGTTTCACAGGAATGAGTTACAATAAACAAATTTATAAATAACAAAAATTCAATTGTGAATATTTATCCTATCCTTCTCTTTAAAATACATAAATTAATAAATAAAAATAAATTTTTAAAGCTGGCCAAAAGATGAAATTGAAATGAAAATCGATCAATAAACACAGCCCAATTCTAATCGAAAAAGAAAACTCTTTAGAGAGAGCAAAACTAAATGAAAATGCGAAATCACAAGGAAAACGGGAACGCCACCGATTTGAGCGAGCCGGTATCCGTTGTTGGCCAAAAGAATTTGGCCAAAATGGAGCCAACGCAAATGGAGAATAGCAATAAAATTTCGGTGGTGTCCAAGCTCCTGCTCAAGGACAGCAATGGAGGATGCAGTCGCAGCAGCAGCAGCAACATCAACAGCAACACAAGCAATGCCAGCTTCAGTTCCGCATCAGTCGCCGGCTCTGTCCAGGTAAGTCTCAGTCCAAGTCTCAGTCTCAGTCTTCAGTCTCAGCGACGGATCACGGTTCTCCGTGTAGACACTCTCCACAACCGGTTTCGGGTTTCTTCTGTCTTCTGTCTTCTGTCCGACGTCTTCTGGACTTCTTGTTTTATTATTCTTGTTAATAAATCCTCAAAAGCGCGCAGAATTCCAATCACACGGCTGACTCACTTGGCTTGGCCAGCAAATGAAACAAAAGTGAAGGCTGAAAACGCAAACAAATAAATCGAAGCCGGAGCTGGAGCTGGAGCCAAAGCCCACGCACAGTGGGTCTTGGGGGTCTGGGAATTCGATTTTCGATATTCGGGCCACTGCAGGTTCCTAATTGAATTATGGGTCTGACCTCCATTTGCATTGCCCAACCCCCGGGGAAGTTTCGTTTTCGATATTCCATATGCACAAACATATATGCATATAATGTATTTTCCCCGAGCATCATCCACTCTGTGTCACTCAGTCACCCAAAAATAAAAAGAAATGATGGTAAAAAGTAATCCCAAACGGTACATTTACCACTTGGCAGAGTTTTGTTTATTTTTGGGGATCACTTGGGGAATCCGTTCGTTGATCGATCTGGCACAGCTCCACCAGCTCCTCCAGCTCCTCCTGATCCTCCTCCCCCGAGGTGCAGGATGCGATTATTAATTGGACAACTGGCAATGAATGAAGCCGTAGGAATGTCGACTTGCGTGTGAAGTTGTTTTCTCGGTGCCAAATGAATGAATGGCAGCCTGTTGCTTGTTTTGGTTTATTTTTACTTTATTTTTTATTTTTTGCTGCTGCTTGTGAGATAAGTGAGGGGGTTATGATAAGGAAGCTGTAGAAATGTGGCTCAAGGTGTGGTTCTAAAAATAACGACATTTATTTGAAGTTATTCTCGGCGATGCATAGTCAAAAGTAATTAAACTTTTTATGGCTCATATTCATAATTTATACCTAATACAAAACGAGTTTGAAAAAGTATTTAACTTTAAAACATAAAATTTATTACGTGTCAGAAGCTTAGAAAGTTTGTTTTCGATGTGAACTTCTTTTAATGGAAGGTTCCTCCCCTGCTGCCATAATAAAATAATTACTTTTAATGATAACTCTGCGGCTGCCAAATTCCCAGAATGTTGCGCTTCTCTTTCACTTGTGCCCCCAATGATCCCATTCTGTCATTAATACACACAGAGAGATACACATATGTATGCCCTATGTGGTCGATTCTGTTTGATTTGCCCCGTCACCCATTAACCTTAACTGAATTATTGTAAGCCGGCAAGCAGCTCCATAGTTCGGTGGCCGTGAATGCCACACATTTGAAAATGGATTGGTTTACGTCTAAAATGCAAAATAATTTACCAAATTAACGGTACCATTATCAACAGCGACGATCCGATCAATCAAAGGAATCCGATCAATTAAATGTTGCCTCCGAGCGTGGCACAAACAGTCGACAAAAGAGACTCGAAGAAAATGGGCAGCCAGAGGAAAAGAGGTTATGAGCAGAGCAGACCAGAATGCTAAGAACATTGTGTGTAGATGATGGTACAGGAGAGAAATATTCTATATCTGTGTTTTAGAGGTTTTCTTACAAATTTGGGTTCAAAGAAGGTTCTAAAATGTTAAGCTTTTCCAGAGAGCAAGGCCACACTGCAAGGACACGTTCCTTCAGGGAAAAGCTTAGAATATAATTTCTAACGAGAGCCAGGTCACACTGTATAAGAATATCCTTTCTGCATATAGCAAGGTCACACTGTTAGAGCTATTATTTCTCAAAGATTAGGGAAATTAATTAGAAAAGATTTATCTTATAGATAGTTTTACAATAGAAGATTGTTATATTTATTTTTTCTTTTAAAATATCCCCTTTTGACCACACTTTTCTCCCAGTGCCGCTTGATGGTGTTGACGATAGCTGGGCGAAGTTGGAGAAATGCCTGTCTGAGAATTGGAACAGCATTGACCTTATCACCGAAAGCCCCCACCATCGGCAGGGGGTTGCCGTTGATTAATCATCTCCATTCTTAATTGTGGCCCCATCTTCCATATGCCGATTGTTATCATCTATCCGCTGTATGGTGGCTTCCCCTTTCGCCTGGCGAAATCGCCAGAGATCTACACTATATGTATATATATGTATATGAATATATGCTTTTTCATAGCCTTTGGGCCTGGCTTAGAAGACGAAAGAGAATGGCCCGTGTGGCGATCGATGGACGGATGGATGGTTGGATCGATAGATGGATGGTTGGGATGGATCGATTCGCGGATCGATGGTCGATGGTGGCGGGCAGGTTATTGAACCGCTTTATTCTCGGGCATTTGTAACGTTTTATTTTCATCTTTTTCCATACTTTTTAAGCTCTTCCACAAAACGCTAATTACTGGCAAGGCGCACGCTTTAGTTCCAGTTATTAGACCAACTCCGACTCGCAACAACCGAAAGACTTTGTGTACACTCCATTGATGGCGGTGGTCGTTGTGCCTCGCTCGCCTCTCCTCTAAGCCAAGCTCCTCTAAGCCAAGAACTAGTTTTGGGGTCGGTCTGAGATATTTTTGCATCGATTAGGCCACATTCCACGCACCTATCTCGCGCGCCGCTGGGCGTTGCAATCTCTTCGGGGGCTATTTATAGCTGCAATCGAATTAATTGTGGCCACGCCCCAGCGTTAGTGCCGGAATCCTGACAAAAACAAACTGTAATGGGCCCCTGGTGGTAATGGGTGATGGTGGACCCATTGGGCTTGACGAAGGTCGTCCCTGTCCATTCTTCAGTCTCTTCTTTGCTTTAGATGAATGCGCAGATTTCTAAAGAAAAAATATTTTGGTTTTAGATGTAAAGATTTAAGTTTTTTGTATTTCCCCCCTTTTGGAGCTTGCCTGCTTCTTTTTTTCTGCCGAATCAGCCAAAGCACTTGACGCTGCTGCAATGGAATCTTTTCTGTATTATAGTATATATATTGTAATATATGTTTGTATCTTGGTAAAGTTCAAGTGTCGTGAGTGATCGAGTTGAAGGCAGAGTGGGGCACCTTAATCGCCGCTTCATTTCCGCGCCAAGCTTTCCTTTTAGCTGCGGAAATGATCGCATATTTCGCCAAAAGAGATCTTGGCAAAGAGACCCCGAACGATCCCATCGAGAGTTGCGCAATTAGGGGCGGCCAAGTGATCTGGTCAACGCCTCAAAACAAAAAAAATGTGGCTAATATCTGGGCGGTGCAAAGGGTATTTAAATTAGGGGCTAATGGGATTTTTTTTGGTTAAAGAACTAAAGAACTAGACAAGCTGCTTGAAAATAATATATATATAGAGAGAAAATTATACTCTAGGCGGTGCAAAGGATATTTAAATTAGGGGCTAATAGGGCTGAGGTTTATGAACTAAGCTAGGTGTATGGTTAAAGTGGAAATTTAAGTACGTACTTGTACGAAAATAAAAGGGGAAAATGTATTAAGAAGCTGGTTATTATACTGACTTGTATAATTATAAATGCTGCGAAAAAAACTCTTTATTCAACTGTTGGTAATATTTTTTGTTAATTAATAAAATGTTATGCTTTAACTTATTTATTTTCCACTTAATTTCATATAATTTTTGTATACAATTTTTCCAAGAAGCCTGACTAGTTTTCTCCGTTCCTATACACGTTCTATTGTAATTACTTTGAGAGTATCCCATCAACGCTGTTCGTTCGCATTTTCCCGGCCTGTCTTCTATTTCATTTTCATTTCCAATGCCTGTCGAACGCTTCAAGCTCAGCTCGGCTCAGTTCAGTTAAGCCCGGCTCGGACTCTTAACGCTCATTAGTTCTCCGACTCGTTTCTCACACACACACACACTACACACACACCACACACTCTCGTAGGCTTCGTTCGACTCTGCAATTAATTAATGCCAACAGACCAGTGGCAGCAAGAAAACATCAACAAAAAGCAGCAACAAAGCCGCCTGCCAGCGCTAAATTCTAGCCAGATTCCAGTTAAATTGTTTTGGCTTGTCTTTGAACTCGAACCGCCGGCTTTTTAGCTTTAGCTTCTTGAGCTTCTTTGCCAGCTTCCTTTGCATTTTTTCAGCAGAAGGAAAAAAATAAAGGGGGTGGGGGAAAAAAAATATAACAAATAATTGCTCAGCTCTTGCGACAGGTGCACACTCACACAACATTGTGCCCCCGGAAAAATGTAGGGGAAAATTTCACCTATGTTGCGGAATCCATTGTTCCGGACTTGCCAGCCACACATTGTATGCACTTCTGGCCATGAAGGCAGCAAGATTTCTTTATGAGCCGAACTGCTGCCGGTGCTGCTGCCTTAATTAATTAACACAGGCCAGGTGAAAATGCATTTTGGCCAGGTGCCGTTGGCTCTCTGCTCTTCAAGCCCAACATTGGTTTCATTTTCCGGCTGTGAAGCTGGAGCTTTTTTTTTCGGTGGCTAGTTCTTGAACCCACACACGGCCAAGAAATTTCACTTTTGTTTCTCCTCCAGCGGACAAGGCAGACAAAGCGACATTTCGAGCCACGAAAATTTTGAGGTCAACAGCGGAAACGGAGACGCAGAGACGCGTTCCCATTTGCCGGAGTTGCCGACGCTGTCTGCTGGTTTTTTTCTGTTTTTGGCCAAAAGTGGCCACAGAGACATTGTTGCCATCTGTGAAGTATGAGGAGTGCGGCCCAAAGTCCATTGAAATTCTTGCTGCCATCGAACCGCAAATGAACCGAAAACTCTTCTCCGTAATTTAATGCCAACTTAGAAGTGGAGAGTGGAGTGGAGCGAAGCTCGTCAAGCCTCGAGCTGGCTCAAGAGACAGCTGCTGCCCTTTCGATCCAGTTGCAATTTGGCCAAAATAAACATGATTTGCCATTTCGATTTTTCTGTGTTGTCATCCGGCCACCGCAAGTCAGCAGGAGGATCGGATCGTATCCTCTTTGTGGCCAAGAAGAAAACAGAAAGTGACTGAGTGAAAGATTTTTTCGGCTTTCTAATTGG